TGTGAGAGAGAGATTGTGTGTGTGTGTGTGTGTGTATGTGTGAGAGAAATTGTGTGTGTGTGTGAGAGAAATTGTGTGTGTGTGTGAGAGAGAGAGCGAGAGAGAGATAGAGTGTGTGTGAGAGAGAGAGAGAGAGTGTGTGTGTGTGTGAGAGAGAGAGAGAGAGAGAGAGAGAGAGAGAGAGAGTGAGTGAGTGAGTGTGTGTGTGTTTGTGTGTATGTGAGTGAGTGAGTGAGTGAGTGTGTGTGTGTCTGTGTGTGAGTGAGTGAGTGTGATATTATGATCAAAGAAACAAACTATGATTTACGCTTTTAAAAACAAAAATCACCTTTTTAACCTTTTTTAGTGTAAACAAACATGAATTGTTATATTATGGTACAAAAAACAAACTAATATGATTTACAGTTAAAAAGTTAAAAAAAAAACATTTCACTGTGATATGATAAAATTAATATGATCGATACACTTTTAAAAACAAACTTTTTAAACATGTTTAATATTGTCTTTTTTAAGTAATTTCTTTTACATATGTTTATATAGTTTTTATTGATTTCTATCTCTTTTAGTTACTTTAGTACATCAAGTTAAACTAAATTATTTTATTTAAGTTATTCTATGCCAAGTAATAAAACAATTTTTTTTTTTATGTTTTAATTTTAGTTTTAGTTACAATAACCCTGGTGTAAACCATATGAGTTGGTTTCTTTCTTTTATTCATGACACTGGCTTGATGTTAATTTTTATCACATTTATAGAACATAAAAGGCATCTCATATGAATTCAGAACGACCATCATATAGGATTGATCTGGTATTTATCATTTTTTTTACATAACCAAATATCATGTCCAAATCTCTTCACCCCCAACTAGAAATACACTAAAACAATACACAATAAGTCACTTTGAATAAAAGCAGAAATGTAAATCTATACACAAGGCTTGAGTGACTAAACCAGCAGCAGTAAGACAATAAAAGACACTGATGTCCAGTAAATATGGACAGTTTTCCTGCAGAGGACGCAGGGGTGAGTTTGTCACGGATCCGCTCCTGGATTTGCCTCCTGCTGCTCGATCAGCACCTGAAGCAGCTAATCAAGGGCTTTTGATTGAGATGAACTGAACCTGCTGTCTGACCAGAAAAACAGCACACAACAGATTTGTTTGGCACTTCAGCACACGACCTTAAAACCGCAGCGTGGTAACACAAACACAGTGAGTAGCTAACTAACCCATCTATATATTCATCAAGATGCATTCAATTGATCAAAAGTGACTGTACAGACATGTGTAATGTTACAAAATAATTCCATTTCAAATAAATGCTGTTCTTTTGAACTTTCTGTTCATCTGTGAATCCTGAAAAATAAAATGCATCACAGTTTCCGCAAAAATATTGTGCAGCACGACTGTTTTCAACACTGATGATAATCAGAAATGTTTCTTATATATCAGCATATTATACTGATTTCTGAAGATCATGTGACACTGAAGACTGCAGTAATGATGCTGAAAATACAGCTGCGCATCACAGAAATACATTACATTTGAACAGATATTCACATAGACAACAGCTGTTTTAATTTTTTATAATATTTCACATTTTTTACTGTATTTCTGATCAAATAAAAGCAGAAGTGTGTGTGTATCCAGTTCCAGATATTGAGTGTTTCTGTCTGTACAGATGTGAATCATCAGCCCATGTGTGACGCTGATCCTACAGGAAGTAGCTCCTCTCAGCTCTTCCACTTCCTGTTTCCTCATCCACTCATGCACATCTACATGTGAGTGTTTACTCTCTGTTCAGAGATACTGAAGCATTTTTCTAGCATAAACTGTCAAATAATGAACGCATATGTGATAATATAACACAGTAACGTTACTTCAGTTTTAAAGAGAATAACGTTCAGGGATTTTAGCATGTAAGTGTGTGGGTTTACTCATGTCTGTGAAGCTCCTGCGGGGAACTACAGATCATGTACAAGAATTAATAATATTCAGTTTAATTCCAAATATGATTTGCAAATGTATTTTAAATCTAAGGTCAATAAAAAAAAAAACTCTCAAATCAGCTGGTAATATTTCATTCGTATGTCACATAGCTGTTTTATTTATGCCTTGGAAATTATATGACATAAGTTTATATATATATATATATATAAAACGGATATTTTATATATATTTTATTTCAAGTATAAATTTTTTTTTTTTAATTGGTTTTAGTTTACTACATTTTCTGTGCCGTTGCTAGGATTCTTATTTCAGTGTAAGATTGTTGGATTATTTTTTTTAAAGCGCAAATCATATAATTTTTTATTATGTATATTATAGTATTACAGTATATGTGACCCTGGAGCACAAAACCAGTCATAAGGGTCAGTTTTTTTAAACTGAGATTTATACATCATCAATGTTTACATGTGATTTTTTTGTTTGTTTTAAGTGTAAATAATTAGTTTGTTTAATTGATCACAACATTACAATGATTTACACTTGTACATCGAAGTAGTTTCTTTTAGCATAGCATGAGCATATTAAACAGATCAAGGTGCTGAACACTGCTGTGTGTGTGATGCTCCTCTGCAGCAGCAGGTGTCAGTGTGAGACCAACACAACACACAAGACAAAATACATCTGATCTAATGTTACAGAATGCTCCTATGACTACAGAGAGCAAGCTAGCTCTCAGAAACATTAGGCTTATTACAAATATTTCTGAAATCCCGATCGCATTTTATTAGCAGATTTATTAGCAGAAAAACACACTGATTCCAGGGTTATTATACAAACTCAAACTAAAACCGTAATAAAGGAAATATTTCTCATTTTCATTTAGTTTAACTTGAAATACTAAAATGACTAAAACTAAAAGTGAAATAAAAAAAACTATATAGACATTAAAAAAAAACGAATAACAATGACAAAAGCCCCAAAATTACTAAAATTAACTAATATAAGTTAATGTGTGTGCATTTATGCATATCCCAAAACATTACTAAAAACTAAAACAGCATCTCAAAGACCCTAAAATAACATTGTGTCAAATCCCACTTGATCCAGAGATTTCCCTTGAATCGAGTGTAAGTGAAAGCATAAACGTGTGTGATAAATGAGTGTGTGTGTGTGTGTGTGTGTGAGGTTGATCTGTGGGTTCAGAGCATCAGGATCGTTTGATTTGAGCAGACGTCTCTGAGTCTCTCAGGATCTATCTTTACGTTTCATAAAACCGATAAAGGAAAAAAAAAAACTTTTCATGAATCAAGTAATTGGTTTCTAGTTACCTTTTTATTTACATTAAATGTTAAGGAAAAAACAACAATTCAATAATGGATCATTTGAGAAAAAAAAGAATGAAAGTGGTTTCTAGCGACATTCCTATTTGTGTTAAATGTTAAGCCAAAAAAAGAAAAGAAAAAGGTATTTCATAAAAGGATCATTTGGGAAGAAAAAAACAAAACAAAACATTAATAAAAAAATTGGTTTGTGGAAACATTATTTACTTTAATTTATTTACGTTAAAACAAACAATCTTAATATATAAATACTGCATAATTTTATAATTTTTTTTTGATGCTTTAAAAATCAACTTTTTTTTCAGTTAGTTACCAAGGCAACATTTCTCATTTTTGTTTAGTTTAACTTGATTTACTAAAATAATTAAAACTGAAATAAAAATGAATAAAAACTATAATTTTTTTTTTAATAATGAAAACGAATAAAAATGACAACACAAATACTAAAAATTAGAATGAAAATGAAAACTGAAAAAAAAATATATATAAATATATATATATTAATAAAAACTATAATAATATAACGTGTTTCTGTATCTAAAGTGTCAAACCTTAATTTATTCTTTTTATGTTATAAGCCAGTTCCCTCTTAAATGGCAAATTTTAAGAAATTGAAGATGTTGCTAATGAGAATCCCGTCACGTTAATACAAAAGATTTATGATTTTTAGTTTTGATCAAAGTTATTAAATCAACGAAATAATAAATTCAATCACTATTTGTCATTGTTATTCATCCCATGATGTTACAATACTTGAGCCCCGTTGTGCCCCTAAAACAGACCGATTTCAGACGCTGGTTTTTTGGCTGCACATGTTGGTTTGATCTATATTTATCTGCTGGGCTTGAGTGAGTCATCAGTGTGTGATTGTGTGTTAAAGAGACATTTGTGATCCGTCTTCACACTCATCTTCATCTCACACGCGTGACGAGATTGTGTTATATCATGACAATATTTCCTAATCCTGCTCGACACGATGCATCCGTCCATAATGAAACACAAACCACTGTGCAACACAAAGCAAATAAAAACACAATTAAAGGAACAGTTCACCCAATTTGTCCTCACTCTCAGGTCATCCAAGATTAGGATGAGTTTGTTTCTTCATCAGGTTTGTAGAAATGTAGCATTGCATCAGTGTCTCTGCAGTGAATGGGTGCCATCAGAATGAGAGTCCAAACAGCTGATAAAAACATCACGATAATCCACAAGAAATAACTCCAGTCCATCAGTTAACATCTGGAGAAGACAAAAGCTGAAACTAATCCAGCATTGACGTTTTTAACAGCTGTTTGTACTCTCATTCTGACGGCACCCATTCACTGCAGAGCATCCATTGCTGAGACACTGATGCAATGCTACATTTCTCAGAATCTGATGAAGAAACAAACTCATCCTGATCTGGGATGATGTTGAATCGACCAATCACAACATATTTAATGTTTAAAGCAGTGATTTTTACCTCAAGTAAGGCATAAAAAAAGCACATGCTTTGCAATTTATTCCAAACTAGTTAACTGTAATTAGTTTTTGTACTAACAGATCACGCTAAAGGAGATTGTCATTTGCAATAAAAAAAAAAGCACACAGTGATGCATAGCAAAAGTGTCATTTTTATTGATCACACGTTCATACTTTTATAAAATACTATATATAATATTAAAATCAGACTGAGTTAATTACATTTGCATGATCTTAAGAACTCTACACAATCTTTATAAATTACAGTGTGGTGTATTTCTGATAAAACCGCATGATTCAGCTCGTAGCTTGTCTGTTTGGACGGCTCTGCGTGATAATGTCTCTGGGTTTGACAGCGAAGCGGTGCACCGTCTGTGAGCTTCAGGACGTCCAGAGCGAGTATGCAGCGAGGGCCAATAGAAACCACACCATGAGCACAAGAACCTTCTGCGTCCACAGACACGAGTCCAGCTTCTGCTCCAGACGCGAGTTACTCGCCATCACACGCATCAGCTGATGACAGATGCACGAGAAGATTCACGTTTCAGAAAGACGTGCATTAATCAATCATACACAATAAGGTGAATTTAGGGCTGCTGATTAATCACAGTACACCGAGGCCTGGTTTCACAGACAGGGCTTAGACTAAAACGAGATTAGGCCATAGTTCAATCGGGACATTTAAGTCATTTTTATAAACATGCCTTAGAAAAAAAACATTACTGGTGTGCATGAGACAAAACAAAGGCATTGATATATTTTAAGTCTTTCAGTTGAAACCGCTCAGAATTACATTTTAGTCCGGGACTAGGCTTAAGCTTTGTCTGTGAAACCGGGGGTAGAACAGTAACGTTTTGGATTTACGGAAATTTTCTTTAAATATGCAAATGAGGCTGATTTAATTAAATGTGACCCTGGAGCACAAAACCAGTCATAAGGGTCAATTTTGTGAAATTGAGGTTTATTAATTGATCGGACAATATTTGGTCGAGATGCAACTATTTGAAAATCTGGAATCTGAGGGTGCAAAAAAATCTAAATATTGAGAAAATCATCTTTAAAGTTGTCCAAATGAAGTTCTTAGCAATGCATATTACTAATCAGAAATTAAGTTTTGATATATTTACAGTAGGAAATTTACAAAATATCTTCATGGAACATGATCTTTATTTAATATCCTAATGATTTTTGGCATAAAAGAAAAATTAATAATTTTGACCCATACAATGTATTGTTGGCTATCGCTACAAATATACCCCAGCGACTTAACACTGCTTTTGTGCTCCAGGGTCACATATATATATATGCACTAATTTGCATGCATTTCCAGAAGATAATTCTGAACATTTCATACAGCCAGGTTCAAAATTCTTGCTTGATTTTGTTGACATACTAAGGGTTTTGGATTTCTCTCTTTCATCACTCTATAATTCAGAAAATTATGGAAGCTTGTTTCTACCACGAAATAAAAACAATTTTTTTTTCTTTTTTTAAATCTCAACTCTGACTTGTTTTTCCTCACAATTATGAGTTTATATCTCACAGTTGAGACTTTTCTTTCTCAGAATTGCACGAAAAAAGCCAGAATTGTGAGATTGAGAAGTGTTACCTTTTTTTAGTTTTAGTTTTTATTTTGTGCCATAAATAAGCTTCCGTAGAAAATGCTGCCAACAGCTAGAAAACAAAAAACAAACAAAAAAAACATTTTCACCATGTTTTTAGGAATAAAATCTTGTAAATCAGTGTGAATAATATATGAACAAACCATACAGCAGTAAAAATCTTCAGTGTATATATACAGGAATAAAACTGTAAAGGTTGGTGAGTGTAAGTGCTGCTTGAGAAAATAGCCTTTAAAGACATGTATTGTAACAAATCTACAGACGCAAATAGATAAAGTGCAATAAAATAACTTCAATACTTTTTTTTTTTTTTTTAACTTCCACAGGAAAAAAACTCAATTGTGAGTATAACTCGATTCTAAGAAAAAAAGCCTAAATTTGAATTATGAGAAAAAAAATAGAAACTTGCAATTATGAGAAAAAAAACATCAGAATTGTGAGATCAAAAAAAAAACAAAAAAAACCTTTTTTTATATTTCATCTTTAGTTATTTCAGAAATATGCTTCCATAATTTATGGCGTGATAAAAAGAGAAATCCAGAGCCGCCTCTGTAAAAACCTTCAATATGTCAAAATCAAACAAGAATTTTGAACCTGGCTTTATCCAATGTTCAGAAAGTGCAATAAAATAAACCCTTAAAAATGCATTTTGAAAGTTTTCAAATCTCAAACCTGAGCAGTGCATAAAGAATCCATGTTTTTGTCTCGGAGTGAACAGTGTCTCACCGTGCTCTGCAGGTCCTGATGCTCGTTGCTCGCCGCTGACGGACTCTCAGACCAGTTGCTCAGAATAGACTTTGGGCTCTCGAGGAGGAGACAGCGCAGCCTGAGGAAACAACGGCTGATTAGTGTCAGATAATACCAGCTCAATCTCGTCTCAAACGCTCAGAGAGTCAGTCATCAGACGCCTGTCGACTTCTTTCACATCTCCGAGTCGAAGCCTTCGCTTCTGTGATCCGCTTGCCTTTCAAACGCTGTTTCTCAACTGCGTTTATCGTTTCGGAGTGAAGCGTGGCACTGTGTTCAATTACACACGAGCAGCTCGTTATTCAGGGAACTTTAATGTACTTTAACGTTTGGGAAGCACAGCATGCTTGTAATGAAGCGATTATCAACAATCCTCCATGTGGCTTTCTGTCAAAATAAAATTCAATGGCTTCACATGAAAATCAAGAAATAAATATTTGTAGTGTAACTTTACAGTTATAATGGAAAAAAACTATTTTCTTAAACTTATTTTACATTGATGTATTACACTAGTAATGCTTCTTGTTTTGTAATTTCTATTTTTAATAATGTGGTTATATTTTTCCTAAATCTTATTTTACATTAAAATATAACAATAATATTTTTGTAATTCTTATTTAATAAATATGAGTAATTCACTAATAATGAGGTTCTTACATTTTTCTTTAAATATTTTATTTTACAGTTAAATTATAACCAGAATATTTATTGTTTTATTTTGTAATTTTTATATATTTAATAATAATAATAATAATAGTAGTAATAAAAATAATAATGGAATTATATTTTCTCATACCTTTTTCTTTTTTATATTTGTATTTACTACTAGTACTACTACTAATATTAATTATTTTATAATAACATGGTTTTATTTTTATTATTATTGTATAGCCATATTGATATATAATCACAAAATTTTGGCCCAATTGTGCAGCCTTACAAACAAGCAGAGCAAACCTGGAATTTATTTTTTAACTGCATTATCAGAAAAATTGCAATTAGATTTTCTGGATTTGTTTGTGAAAACATTCATATGCAGATTTTGCGCTGTATTCGTGAGCGAGCCGGTGTTCCCAGAATGCAGCGGGTGTGTGACAGACGTCACCTGTGCTCCATGACTTTGGCTTTAGAAACCTCCTTCCAGAACTGAGCGAGCTCTGAGACGCCGGCTCCGCCGCTGCTCTCCATCTCTGCTGCCATGACCAGAAACCTGTCCTGAGGAGACGCCTGGAACCCTGCAACACACACACACACAAACACATATAATACATGCCAAAATACAGGGATTCACAAACCTTGCTGTCAGCCGAAACCCTTAAACACAAAAAAAAAAAAATTATGTAGTTTAAAATAGTTTATGTTAGGCCATTGTAGCCTAAACATTTGTGTGTAATACATTTTATGTAGAATCAAATAAAATCTTTCTTTCTAAAGCTACAATTTGTATTGTCTACTTGATACTTTCTCATTTAACCCAAAAATAGCTTTAAATAATGTTTTGGGAGTATTTTCACAGCCAAATTTAATTTGCGATTAATTCGATTAATTAATCGACACCTCATGTAATTAATTAGATTTAAAATTTTAATCGACTGACAGCCCCTAATATATACTGTATATATGAGAGGGGGGGGGGTAGTTTGTTTGCGTTTGCCCTCGTTTCCTCGCTTTCCTTAGCTTTTAAATAGCTCCGTGCACATTTTACTTTCACTTTCAAATTAGCGGCAATTCGGCGTCGATTCAATTCAAGCAACAACAAAATAAAAGTTCTGTGAGTTTGATGTTGTATTAACAAAACGAATAAAAATACACCGTGCTATATGCCTAATATAAAATAACAAATTACTAAAGGCTACACAAAGGTATACAAAATTGAAAATCAGCAAACACTGTGAAACCAAACAAATAAGAAAAATAGAACGTAATAAAAATAGAAAGCTTGGAGGCACGGCATACACATGGATGTCAAATAAAATAACTAAAAGTCTATCGCAGCAACCCGAATGGTCACATGACATGTAAACAGACAAATTTTTCAAATATTTGTAGTAAGTGAGATCTGGCTGCTCTTTACCTCCATGAAGTGAAACCACGATGTCCACGCTGGCTCCGTGCTCACAGCTGCTGTTACTGGGCTTCACGCGGTACTTCTCTGGAGCCGTCGTTCGGACCTGAACACACAAAAACATGATCAAACACTGTAGAGACCAACCACACCAGCTCCTGTCATTACAACTGATTTGTAGTGAGATTTAAGACAAAAAACATGGACGCAGAATCCAATCATGGAAATGGAATTTACAGAATAACATGGAATTTTGGTAAATAAATTTCCGCTTAAATAAAAGTAGGGCTGTAAGAAGCTCAAAGGACTTCACTGCAACCTGCCAAACTAAAAGAAGAGAAGAATTTGAGAAAAAATAAAACCAGTTTCACAGGGCCCTAAAAATATATATTTGTTTGTTAAACTTTTGATAAATCATTGTTAAATGGTACGCGTTTCATGATTTTAATTAATTAGATACTTTTTGATTACTGAAATTTTATTTAACCAAAATTCAGAAAAACTAAACTGAGAAAAAAGGAATCTAGGACAAAAAAAAAAAAGTTTTAATAAAACATGTATTCAAAACAAAAAGCCAAAAAACTAAAAACCTGAATCCAGAAAAAAAAAAAAGAAAAGAAAAAAAAAATCCAGAACTATTTATTCAAAACAAAAAGCCAAAAAAAGAAAAAAATGAATCCAGAAAAAAAAAATGTAAAAAATAAAATAAAATAAAATTGGGGGGGAAAAATACAACGGAATTTGGGACAAAATAAAACTTCTTTCATAGGGCTTATGCATTAGGACTTGGCAAACACCAATAAAAACAGACTGTTAAATTAGTGAGACACCTGCAGATGAGGCTGAAAATCGATTTTCTTTTAGTTCTAAAGTATTTCATTCAAGTCATAGACTGCAGCTTTATTCAGCATGCGTGATCTGCTGACGTCTCACCTTAAAGGCCACGTGGTTTTTGGTGACGTTGTTGAGGATGATCAAACACTTCTTCTCTGATTCTTTAGCACCGAATCGGAGCTCTTCTGATGGACTGAAACACAACACCGCACACGCGTGATTATCAAGATCACATCCACAACTCTCTCACTAACAGATTACTGCAATATCACTGAGTGATGTTCACACAACAGAAAACACATTACATCAGATCCTGTGACTCTAAACATCAATGTGTGTGCATACGGGAGATAGAGCTAAAAAAAATATGTTCATCTCCATATTTATGCGTTGGCTCTGAAATACAGGATTCATCATTTTAATCAAAAGTCTTCGTAATAAAGTAGATTCAAAATGCCTCATGTTAGAAATAAAATGCAGTAAAAATCTAGTTCACAATGCATGTTTTAACATTTTTCTATATATTTTTTTATTTATATTTTTGTAACACTTTACAGTAAGGTCTCATTTGTTAGCATTAATAAATGCATCAATTAATGAGAACTAACAATGAACCAGTATTATTTTAGTGTTATTTATATACCATTATAGTTTTTGTTAATATTTAGATTTTTTTATTATTGTATTTATTATATTTAATACTTAATTTTTAGTATTTTTTTGTGCAGGCTTACAAAAAGCAAACTGCATTTTTATTTTTATTCGTTCTAATTTATCTTTATTTCAGTTTTAGTTTTATTTCCAGTGAGTATTTTTAGTTTTTTAACTTTATTTATTAATTATTTCAGTTAGTTGCCAAGGCAGTTAAAGTTTTTCATTTAATATTTATTTTACTTTATTCAAGCCTTTAATTATTTCAATTAAGAAAATTGTTTTAAATAGTAACAATATATTAGCATTTATTCACTTTCATTAATGCTCTATTTGTTCATCGTTTTAGTTCACAGTGCATTAATAACTTTGATTTTAAAAATGTAATGTTGAAATTAAGAAGTTAGCATTGGTTATTCTTAGATCTTAAGTAATGTAGTTAAATGAAATCATATTGTAAAGCGTTACCATTTTTATTTATATGCACCAATTTAACAATCATAAACAGCAATATATATTCTGAAAACATTTTGATATGAAAACTGACACATGGAGACTAAACATTGGGAGATGACGCAAATGAATCATTGTTCCAAAGTTCTGAACTGATTCACTGAATTGCACAGTATGAACTGAATCATGAAAATGAATCATCACACATTTAATAAACATTCAATATCTCAGCCAGCTCTAATAGGCACATGTATTGTTATTGTATATTTATTTGGCATGAATCATGTGCTGCATGAACCGCAGTCGGCCTCAAATAACATCCATATCCAAAATATTGTGCAGCACGACTGTTTTCAACATTGATAATAATCAGAAATGTTTCTTGAGCAACAGATCAGCATATTATACTGATTTCTGAAGATCATGTGACACTGAAGACTGGAGTAATGATGCTGAAAATACAGCTGCGCATCACAGAAATATATTACAGTTTAACAGATATTCACACAGAAAACAGCTAGTTTACATTGTAATAATTTCACAATTTTTACTGTATTTTTGATCAAATAAACGCAGCCTTGCTGAGCAGAAGTTCGTCAATTCATTAATTATTTTGACCAGTAAATGTATTCATACCATATAGTTGTCGAATGTGTTTTTGCGATACCATTAATATCCAATTAGTTATGGTTTTATGTCGATCAAGTTCCAAATAAAAATAGAAAAACAATTCAATTAGAGAAAGCATCTTTCATTTGCAAAATATTTAATTGACTGAATTATACACATACAAAAATTACCCGAGTGTTCAGTTTCATATACAATAAAATCCCAAATCAATGTATTTAACCCATAAACAAACACAATTAATGTAAACTAATTGAATTCATTTAATGTTCAGAGATGATTGAATAGTTTCTCATAGTTTGATTCATTTCTGTGAATCGGTTCAAACTGTCCGACTCACTGAATCAATTCAAAACTCTGATTCAACATCACTTAGAAATGTTCACTGAAGTCTCCATGCATAACTTTTCATATTTAGTAAGTATCTGAAGGCAAATATTGCTGTTTATGACTGTGCATTAGCATATTGGTGCATGTAATTGAAAGCAATGTAGTATGATACTTCCTTTAGCGAAAAAGTATGAAAAAAGCGTGTGCGCCTTTTGAACTAGATCTTGGCTGTATTTCACTGACGCAGCACCGCTCGCATTCATCGAGTCCATCAAACGCGAGTGCAGTGATTTACCTGATGTGCAGTAATGTGCCCATGAATGTGGTGGTAGGTTTTCTAGCTCCTCTCAGTCGTCCAGGATCTCCTCTGTCCAGATCTTCTGACTTCTGACCGTCTTCAAGGAAATTCACCTGCAAAACACATCACAGAACATCACGATGGCACTTTTGCAATAGAAAAGCATGACATCAGGTCTGATTTTGTGCTCACAATCCCTTTCAAATGCTCCAATATCAACAAACTGATACATGCAGGGTAGACTGAATGTTGCATGAACGTTGCTGCACAAAAATTGACATTTTAAGATTAACAACATGCATGATAAAAAATGCAATAAATAGGAAAGCACGGCATCAGGTCCGATTTTGTGCTCACAAACCTGTTCAAATGATAAAATATCGACACAAATACCACAAGAGCGTTGCGTGAACATTGTATGAAATTAAGAGTAATAACCTGTACGACAAATTAATTGCAATAAATAGAAATGCACTACATGAGGTCTAATTTTGTGCTGATGAACCTGCTCGATTGCTCCAATATTGATAAACTAATACCATAAAGCACAGAATGAACGTCGCGTGAATGCTGCATAAACATCGCTGCTCAAAAAAGGAGATATTTTCAGATTGACAAACAGGAAAGCACAACATCAGGTCTGATTATGTGCTCACGAACCCGTTTAAATGCTCCAAAATCAACGAACTGATAAATGCAGCGTAGAAAGAAAGTTGCGTGAACGTGGTTGCACATAAAAATTGAGATTTTTAAGATTAACAACCTGTATGACAAATGATTGCAAAAAATGGGAAAGTACAACACGAGGCATCATTCTGTGGTTATGAACCAGTTCAAATGTTCCAATATAGACGAGCTGATGCCACACAGCATAGAAAGAACGCTGCATGAACGTTGTATGAACGTTGCAGCACAAAAATAAAAATAACATTTAAAGATTAACAACTTCTACGATAAATTAAATTGCAATAAAGAACAGAAGAAGAACTGTAACAAGGTTTTTGAAGATGATAAAACCAAAAAAGCAACTGGACTTCGTTTGTTTTCAATGAGAATTGGCTGTTTTATGGTGACTGAAATGCAACAAAGTCAAGCAGGCCTCAACTATATATGAATTAGCAGCAACCAATGGGATCGATGGCATCAAAAATGGGGAAGAAAATCAGAACAAAGAGTCAATGTGAACACATGAATAAACACTGAAACCATCAGGTTGTGATTTCCCATTTTAACCATCGCAGGAACTTTTACCCACTTTATTCAGTCGCAAACCGCCAAAACACACGTGGAAACGAAACGAAAACTGCTGAACACACGCTTTCTTTGTGCTCGTGCTGCGGAAGTGGAAACAAAGTTGAAGCGAAACTCTGGCGCAACCGAACACGTGCTGGAAAAAAGAGGGAGAGGATGTGGGTCAGGGGTCAAGGTCAAAGGTCACGGCGTCGTTACAGTCGACAAAAACGGCCTTATAATGTGTTCATTAATTAAAGAGGCAGGTTCGATTTGAAATGTTCTGGACTTTATTCAAAGTTCGATTGAAAATGTCAATTAAACAGCTGAAAAATCACAGTTTTGAACCAGATTACATGAAATGTTCTTCACATACGATTACATTTTACAGTATGTCAGTCAATCATTAGTGTCTATTCATTAGTTAATTGATCATTAGTGATGAAACGATTTACATTGCATTATATATCCATCTTTGACAAGCATACAGTAATGAATCACAGCACTGATCAGAACAAACACCGTTTTTCTTTTTCAAAATCAAATGATCAAATAATAAGACAAACTTGTTTATCAAATGTAAATGTGGAAAAACTTCATTTTGGTGGAGTGTTAGAGCAAAACCGAAACGATTCAATAGTGGGTCTATATAAACAACTCACAATTTCAGAGTGTTATTGAAAATGTCATAATGCTGATCATATGACAGTGGTCTACATTAGTTCCTCTGTACGCTCTCAGGACTCCTACACACTAGAAGAAGAAGAAGTAGCTCAGATTGTGCATTACATCAAACTGGATCAGCCTGAAACCAGCCGCATTTCTGAACGCACTGCTTAGTGTATGTTGTAGCAAGAGTTAAAAGTCATGCAAACCCCAGCGTATCTTCTATACTGCCTTGGAATCAATGGATTCAATTGACCAATTATGGCTCTTTAAAGGAATAGCTCACCTAAAAATGAAAATTAGTTGAAATTGTGCTCACTCTCACGCCATCCGAGATGTAGATGAGTTTGTTTCTTCATCAGGTTTGGAGAAATGTAGCATTGCATCAGTGTCTCAGCAATGGATGCTCTGCAGTGAATGGGTGCCGTCAGAATGAGAGTCCAAACAGCTGATAAAAACATCACAATAATCATGCAATGCTACATTTCTCCAAATCTGATGAAGAAACACTCATCCTTATCTTAATTATTTTAGCACTTTTGAACTGACGTACAACTCATTAAATCAAATCTTTGCTGTGTGTATCTTTAACTACACGCACTGAACAATAAGTAACTACACTGTCATAGTCTCTCAAGCCTTAAAATGATCATTCATCCAAAAAATAAAATTGTCATTTACTCACCCTCATATCGTTCCAAACCTGTGACTCTCTCTTCTTTTAAACACATATTTTGAATAACTCCGAGGTCTACACAACATTTGCTTTCATTATATGAACGATAACAACAGAAAGTTCTTTTGTGTTCCGATATTTTGTGATATTATAACAAAATATTGGATTCAATCTTTTTATCTTTCGATTAGCACACGTTTTGGATTTCTTTTCAGAACCGACTGATTATAAATCTTATTAAGCTGAGCTTATGCACCTCAGTTTTAGAGTGAAAAAACCTTATTTGTGGATTATTTTGGCTCGAAAAAGGAGTAGCATGAGTTCAGATCAGTGAGGCCTACAATCAATAAGTGCCAAAAAGAAACACACAACCTGTGCTAATTGAAAGAAAACAAGTTAATAAAAAGATTGAATACAATATGTGACCCTGGAGCACAAAACCAGTCTTAAGTCGCTGGGGTATATTTGTAGCAATAGCCAACAATACATTGTATCCATTTTTCTTTTATGCCAAAAATCATTAGGATATTAAGTAAAGATCATGTTCCATGAAGATATTTTGTAAATTTCATACCGTAAATATATCAAAACTTAATTTTGATTAGTAATATGCATTGCTAAGAACTTATGGAAAGCTAATTTATTCAGCTTTCAGATGATGCATAAACCTCAATAAAAAAAAAATTGTCGTCCAGGGTCACATATTTGGTGATAATTTATAGAGGTCGACCGATGTATCAGTTTTGCCGATTAATCGGCACCGATAGTTGATTGCTGGAACTATCGGTTATCGGCAAAAATCCATGCCGATAGTTTTCCGGGTTGCGTCCGTTGCTGGAACGGCTGAGAAGGGTCTGCTGTCATTACACAGTTCGAGAGCGGCCAACCTAGCTATCGGTATCGGCAAAATCCACTATCGGTCGACCTCAATTACCATAATGATAGATGTATAATCAATTATTTGTAGGCCGATCCTTTTTGACCAGGAAACACCAAACGTGTAACAAGGTGGGAAAAATCTCTAAAAAAAGTTAAAGTATCAAATTTTTTGGGCAAAGTTGTTTTACCCTGTGCGAGCAAAGTCAGTAAGTTTCAGTCCGATGCAATAACATTAACTAGCATTTTCAGGAAAAAGAAAATCCTGTCCAGGTCAAAATGACCCAACATGAGGGTTCATTCAGACTCAAATCTCAGATAAAATAGTTTCTTTTGATTCAATAGCGGTGCAGGAAACTCTCAGTATTTTTATACGGTTTATCTGAACACACTGGAGGAATGCAGACGCTCAAGAACCGGTTCTAGATTCCCAACAACAGTGTTCTCTAGTGTGCAAGAGCCCTGAGGAGTTTGACACAATAACAACACAACGATAATAATCAAATAAAACTGCTAATATAACGTCTTTGATTGATCAGATCTAATACACCCCGTAACCAGACGGTGATTTGTTAAAAATATCAATCAAATATGCATTAAAATCATATGAAATGCCACTGAAACTGGGAAAAGTAGATGAAGCGTCTCGTTCGGTGCTGTTGAAATGGGATGGACACATGGGATGAATCTGGTTTGGCTCTGGAAACTGCAGGCACTTGAGGTTGTAGAAGCATCTACAATGTCTTACCAGTCCTTGTTTTAAGACAGACAGAGAGGGACATGAGAAAAACATGCACGAAGAACAGCGAGCACAGCTGTGAGTTTCTCCCATTCATTTTCTCCATAGAAGATTCTTCAGTAAAACCACGAATCAAATCAACCAGATGAATCGCATTTAAAACTCTGATTTGAATCAGTTTGCTCTGTAGAGAATGAATGGGATTTTTATTCAACTCGACTGATGCACTCGATGGCGACCGCACATTGGAAAAGGATCTCTGGATCCCAAATGAAAGCCTTCAAGCACTTCGTCTCATGCCTAATCATCATGCTGAGCGTTTGAGAGTCACATGATGAATCAGAGCGAACCATGAGACGCTCATGAGTTCATCATCATAATTAGCGCGTCTAACATCAATCAACACAAACACTGTGAGACGCCTTATTAGTTGATGAGATCAGAGATGAGAGTGACGATGACCCTTAACAGCACAATGCAGGTTAATCCAAGTTAAACTAAACGAAAATGAGAAATGTTGCCTTGGAAACTAGCTGAAATATAACACACACACACACACACACACATATATATATATATATATAATAAAATAAAATTAGTGATATTTTTTTTGTAAGTAACAATTAAAAAAAAATTATTGTAGTTAACTATAATAATCCTGTCGTGATTTTAATTTGAGCATTAAATTTCCTAAAGATTGTTGCTTGTTTTGTTTGAGTACATTGTACACAAATTTTAAATAAAACACAGATTACCGGACCGTTTTACAAAGAAAAAATACTATTTGCTATTTGCTATTTGTCTTTGCACTTAAAATTTCACATTTAATTAAATATGTTACTATTTCTTTAAAACAATTTTCACAAATAATTATTAATTTATTACATTGTTACACTAAATTGAGAAATGTTGCCTTGGAAACTAGCTGAAATAAATTAAATTACGTTTTTTATATTTGATTTCATTTCAGTTAATGTTTATTTTATTTTACGTAATAAAAATGTTGTTTTATGGTTTTAGTTTTATGAATATTGTGGTGATTTTAATTTGAGCATTACATGTCCTAAAGATTGTTGCTTGTTTTATGAGTACATTATACACGAGTTTTAAATAAAACAAAGATTACTGGACTATGTTTTATAAATACAAAATACTATTTGCTATTTGAGTCTTTGCATTTAAAATTTCACATTTAATTAAATGTTACTATTTCTTTAAAACAATTTTCACAAATAATTACAAAATAAATCTTACATCAAATGTTCAGTGTATGAAAGTGTTCAAACAGATGTTTATTATTTTTTATTTCAGTTTTAGTTGTAGTTATTTATTTTATTGCATTGTTACACTAACAGAAAATGAGAAATGCTGCCTTGGAAACTAGCTGAAATAAAATATTTAATTTCACGTTTATTTTATTTTAAGTAATAAAAAATGTTGTTTTATGGTTTTAGTTTTATGAATATTGTGGTGATTTTAATTTTAGCATTAAATTTAATTCTTTCTACTAAAAAAAATTCACGTTTAATTAAAGTATTTACAAAATGAATATTCAAAATTTTCAGTGTATGAAAGTGTTCAGACAGATTTAGTTTTAATCGCGTCTCTCATTTCAAGTTCAGTAGAAAAGTTGTGCTGGCAAGTTTGATTCATTTCTGTGAATCAGTTCAAACTGTCTGGTTCAGTGAATCAGTTAAATATATGAAATGATTCCTTTGCATCATCATTCAGAAATGTTCACTGAACTCTGTCATTGCTCATGTTTGAGTAAATATACATGGGTAAATACTGTTGTTTATCATTGTACATTTATCATCAAAGATAGTTTTTGTATTTTTCTTCTAGAACTATCAGCCAGCTCTAGTCTTTGCTAGAACTCTATTCACCTGACGTTACTCTGATCACATAATGATTATCATCTCACTAATAAAGAGGCCAAAAGAGAGCAAAAGAGATCACAGGGAAAGAGGAGCTTCAGTACAAAGAATGTCACTACAGCAAAAGCTTTGAGGTGCAGCATCAGCATGCTTTGATTTCAAATCACAATGGTCAAAGAATATTGATTCAGAAGCTCAAATGCACAGTCAAAAGTACTATAATTATTCACAAAATGCATTGATTCCAAAGTAAGAAAATAATCATTGTTGGAAACCAAGAATGAGCAGTAACTCGAGTTACAGGTGTAGAGGAGTTAATCTCGCAAAAACATGTCCGGGTCACATTTCAAAATCAAAAGAAAGAAAATATTTTGCAAAGGGAAAATTAAGACTTTCCAGGATCATTCATATTTTTGCAATTACAAATGCATTGTTAAAGATTTAGCAAAATATAATTTCTTTAGATTTTTGGGGAAACGTGACCTGGATTTGTGAACAAGGAAACGTAGATTAGACAGAACGCAGCGTATGAACAAGAAGAAATGTGGTATACCTTCTTGGGTTTGATTGATTGCTCAGAATTGAAACTGGATTCGAGAGTCTCTTTGGACTCGGATTCAATATCCTTGATGTCACTCTCATCTTCGCTGACGATTGGACCGTTTTCACAGATTGGAGACTGGAAGTCATCATCCGGGAGAGGCGGATAGCTGTATTTGAATTGGTCCTGTCACAAAAAAACAAAAGAATATGAACAAATCTTTGCAATCCTGCAATTTATTATATTTTTGTTCTGTATTACATTTATTATTTGAAAAATTTGAATCTTGACATGGTCACTGTTGTAATTGGAGGAGAACAAACTGGAGTAATTTCCCAAAAATCAGAATTACATTGAAATATATAGCACAACTAAGCACAATAAGCTCTTTAACCCATAGCATCAACATCACATGCTGTGAGATACTAAGTCAGGTTTGTGTTGCCAGGCAAGATTTATGTTTCTAGATTCAAAAGTTACAATCATACAAAGTCTTATTTTGAGCTGATGGTGGCGCTAGAGGGTTTTAGGCAGACACCCTAAAGTTGGTGCAATTAATGGTTAGACACTTAGCAATAAATGTGCCAAATTTCACACCATTTCTCCACACGGTTCTTGGTGTTTCAACATTAGACAAAGCAAAATTCACAATCAATTTTGCAGTTACAATCATACAAAAAGCTATAGTTTGAACTGATGGTGGTGCTAGAGGATTTTAGGCAGAGACCCTAAAATTAGAGAGACTAATGCTCAGACCCTTTGCAATAAATGTGCCAAATTTCATGATGTTCTTCCAAATAGTTTTTGGGGTTTCAACACAATATATATTGCTGATGATGCAACATAAAGCTCAAAGAAATCGAGATACTACCACGATCAACGCACAGAAATGTAGCAAGGACATCGGTAAAGTAGTCAGGGGTTCAAACGTAATTTTACAAAGCAGCGAGAATACTTTTTGTGCGCAAAGAAAACAATAATAACATAATTTATTCAACAATTCTTCTCCCCGAATTACCGTCTTCCGCCATTTTGGAGAGTACCCCAGAACGTAATCAGCATTGTTTACGTTCAGCATGCGCGTGCTTTCTACTGAACGTAAACAACGCTGATTACTACGATTCACTCAACTCACGATTCAGTTCGATTTATGATTTTACGATTCGATTTTCTCACAATTTTTTTTTTGTTTACAAAATGAGATTGAAGACACATTATACAGTAAATGAAAAGGTGTCCTTTTATCCTTTTATTAGGCTATTGCTGCACGCTTCTTTGTGAAATTGAAATATAGAAAACTTAATAGAAATTTTAAAACAAATCCCAAATCAAATAAATAAGTTACACAAATAAAATAAATCTCTTCATATGAACAAACTAAGGCTTTGTCTGTGCTCTTTCCATTTAAAATTAGAGGAAACCACTGCATTTTAAACATCGTCCAAACGAATATGCTGCATGCACGCAACATGAGCAGTTTTTAATCTAAATTAGATTGTATAATTTCGAAATTTAAAGCAAAAACAGAATGGTTTGACTTCAGTTTTGTGAAACTATACATAAAACATATCTGAAGGAAACAGCAGACGAGCTGAATGAGACACAGATTCACTCTCGGACAGCAGGTGGCGCTTATGAACAGCAATGATAGTGTTTCTTTGGTTACCGCTGTAAACAAAGCAGAGCTGCGCATATGAACTCTACTTTAATATGCATCGTTCAGAGGCAAGATGAAAATAAAATGCCATCTAAACTTTCCTAAAGACAGTCAGTTCCCCTCAGAGATACATTCTCCCACCCCCAATTGTATCGCGATTTTTTTGGCATCTCAACCGATTTGATTCGTCACATATTTGAATCGATTTTCAACCTCGGCCAGCAGGTGGCGCTTATGAACAGCAATGATAGTGTTTCTTTGGTTACCGCTGTAAACAAAGCAGAGCTGCGCTTATGAACTCTACTTTAATATGCATCGTTCAGAGGCAAGATGAAAATAAAATGCCATCTAAACTTTTCTAAAGACAGTCAGTTCCCCTCAGAGATGCATTCTCCCACCCCCAATTGTATCGCGATTTTTTTGGCATCTCAACCGATTTGATTCGTCACATATTTGAATCGATTTTCAACCGGCTCGCGGTTCATTGTTACATCCCTACTGATTATGTTAATTACATTCTGGGTTACTCTCCAAAATGGCGGAAGATTGTAACTCTGGAAGAAGAACTGCTGAATAAATTATTATTGTTTTCTTTGCGCACAAAGTATTCTCGTAGCTTCGTAAAATTACGGTTGAACCCCTGATGGCATTTTAGTTTAAATATATCTGATCAAAGTACATCTATTTAATTTATCTTATTTAAACTCCAAGCCATATTTAATTAAAAACAAGTAACTCTCTTATTTGTACGTACCGTTCCTCCCATGTGTGGTGGAAGGTGCTCGGGGCCGACATACGTCTGGATGTCACTCTTGGTGACAAACTTGAGCTTACTGATGGCTTCGGGGCCCAGCCACGTCTTCACTATCTTCCAGGCAGCTGCCACACAGAAGAAACAGTTATGACAAATAAACTGCTTGGACCACACATCATTACAAAGATCCGTTTAGACTTCTCATGAGCCAATCACAACTTACCATTCATGATCCAAGGCATCTCATATATATAATATGTATATGTGTGTGTGTGTATGGTATGTATAGATATTATTTATATATTGTATTGAAATGTTTTGCGTATAAATGTGTTTATACTATATATACATATATATACACATACATATATATTTATATGTATATTTATGTTATTGTTTATTTAGTACTGTACTGAATATGCTATTTCACATAACAGATGAGAAACTCTCAGAAGAACTTCAAGGCAAGCCTCACTCTCCGTATATACTCCATATACTCCACAGGACAAAATAATAACTGAATTTATAAAAATGACCTCATTCAAAAGTTTACATACCCTTGAATATTAATATTATTTGTCGTTTCCAGGATGATCCACAACTGTTTTTATATTTTGTGATAGTTGTTCATGAGTCCCTCGTTGGTCCTGAGCAGTTCAACTGTCTGCTGTTCTTCAGAAAAACCCTCCAGCTCCTGCACATTCTTTGGTTTTCCAGCATCTTCTGCATATTTGAAATATGCAATATTTTAATATTCTGCATATTGAATTTTCACACTGAGGACAATTGAGGGAGTCATGCATAACTATTACAAAAGGTGAAAACATGTACTGATGCTCAAGAAAGCCACACAATGCATTAAGAGACGGTGGATGTAAACCATTTTAATTGGATGATCAGGGTGAATTGTACTTATTTTGTCTTCTGGGAAACATGTAAGTATTTATGTAGCTTCTGAAGTCCAGTTCAGAAGCTACATAAATACTTACATGTTTCCCAGAAGACGAAATAAGTATTTACCCTGATCATGCTGTTCAAAAGTTTACACCCCCTGTCTCTTAATGCATTGTGTGGCCTTCCTGAGCATCAGTAAATGTTTTCACCTTTTGTAATAGTTATGCATGAGCCCCTCAATTGTCCTCAGTGTTAAAAGATGGATTTCAAAATCATACAATGTTGGAAAGGGTTCAAATATGCAGAAGATGCTGGAAAACCAAAGAATGTGCAGGAGCTGGAGGGTTTTTCTGAAGAACAGCAGACAGTTGAACTGCTCAGGACCAACGAGGGACTCATGAACAACTATCACAAAATATAAAAACAGTTGTGGATCATCCTGGAAATGACAAATAGTATTAATATTCAAGGGTATGTAAACTTTTGAATGAGGTCATTTGTATAAATTCAGTTATTATTTTGTCTTGTGGAGTATATGTAAACATTATGTGAAATAGCATATTCAGGACAGTACTAAATAAAAAATAACATGCAATTTTCATGATCCCTCTTATTTTGTTTCAATTATTAACATTTTGCACATTCTGCAAGGGGTATGTAAACTTATGAGCACAACTGTGTGTGTGTGTGTGTATATATATAGTATTAAAATGTTATATAAAATATTTAACTATTACACATATACAATTATATAATATACATTTAAAATGGTTAATTTAATATATTAATATTAATATACATAAAATTTAATATTACATATTTATAATCAACCCAGTGAATAAAATGCATCCAAAAGAGACAAACTGCCTTTCATTTAATTATTTTCAGTATAACTTGCACAGGAGAATCACAGTTTGACATTTCTATTATCAAACAATATCAGCCGTTGATTACATAGCATTGTCAACCAGTTAGTATTGAATGTTTTAGACCGAACTTGAGCAACATTTATAAGCATGCGGAGTAAAGCAAAGAACTTACTATATTACTGATTCCAGACTCAGACATATCGAACACGACCGTCAGCGGCATCCCAGGCTCACGTTTGGCGTAGCGCTCCAACCAGAACGCCACATACCGCTTCTTATCCAATATCATCTTGGCATCTTTAACGTGGAGCTTCACTCTGAACCAGACTGCATTTGAAATACACAGACAGAAAGAGCTGCAGATGGAGGGATATCATTCTTTGATTCTTCAGGGGAAATTCAGCGCAAGCGAAAATCACTATAGCATAGTACTATACTTCATTTAGACTAGAATTGAACGATACAGCTAAAGAATGTTGTTTTCAGCATCTCGGTTTACAGTAAATCACATGTGTGCTGTGAGTTTAACATACATTTGGGGAATGCAACGTATGCCAGTTATGCTTTATTTTCACATTTGCATAATATCCAACGTTTTTGAAGACAGATAATTACAGAATTTCACTGGATTTATCATGTGTTTGAAATCCTGCTGTGACAGAAACTGCAGTTTTCCAGCAACAAAAAAAAATTACTATATAAAAAAATGACTAAATAAATAAGTAAACTTAAATAAATATACTATTAGGGTTGCAAAAAGGTGGAAAATTTCCAGTAAATTTTGGAAACATTCTAAGATTTTTTGGAATATTCCAGGGATTTTTGGAAATTTACCGGAAATTTTCCACCCCTTTGCAACCCTAATTACTATCCAAATTATAAATAAATTAACTATATCAAATAATTTACATACTTTTTATGAAATAAATAAATTTGATAAATTAATTAAATTTTGCAGTGCATTTGTTTTACAATAGTAATATTAATGTCTTAGAGGTAATAATAATTATTATTATAAATTGTATAAAATTATTTAAATTTGTAATATATATGTATACACACACTAATTTATTAATACTGTTTTTATATTCAAAATGTACTTCTATTGATGTATTTTTTTTCTGATCTGGTTTAAAAAAATTTTTTTTTTTGTTTTTTTTGTTTCTTTCCAATCAGAGGAACCATTATTTTAAACAAAGTCACTGTAGTCGAGTACAGTATACTAAAAATTATGGTAAAATCAGTAAAAATATATATTTTTCATAATCAAGACATGTTTCCACGCTGCTTTCACTAAATGAGCACTATTAAAAGCATGTATTATTGCTATTAAATTACACATTGAACTATAGTTTTAACATGCGAGGGACATTTTAACTCCACCTACAGAGTTTATTTCCTTCTTTGTCGTATCCGTGAAGGAAAACCGCACCGCTCTCAAACATCCATCCGGGAATACTGCTCTCTGTGAGGTCTACAGGAAGAAGAAAACTAAAATAAAATAGCACTCATTCATCACATTTTCTTCCTGAATCATCACAACAGTATCAGCTAGCATCTCCGTGAACGAACGTCACGCTTTCCTTCAGAAACTGATGACACATTTGATGAGAGAAGCTCAGCACTGACTCGGTTTGCTTTGGAGGCCATGAAAGTTATTTTAAAGCTCTTCTGTTGAACACATCAGCTGGAATGATTGAATTAACACACTGAAGCTTGTGAGGATGAATCACAGACAAGAGGAGGATTATAACAACATACAATAAAGCTCTTCATTAGAAAGTAGAGCTCAGGAATCATTTCTCTGGAGCACAAAGCCTTTCTTATAAACCGCTATGATCTGTTGGTCAGTCAATGAAAGCTTTAATTCTTTATAACTGTGAAACACAAATTATGCACTATTTATCCGTGAATAA